CCATTGTTCCGTCACCATTCTTTTTTGCTGCCAGCACGACTGGAAAGCTCCAGTCGGCATCTGATGGCTCGATGACGTCCTGCGCCAGCATCTCTTCGATGTGCTTTGTTATGAACTCTCGACCTGTCCAGCTGGTTCTGGCGGGATTGCACTTTACCGGTTTCGCATCTCCCGTATCAATCACGTGGGTGATCCCTTTGACATCTCCGTACGGTTTCTTTGATGTCGGCAACACCTTCCAGAACTCCCAGAATGCATTATACACATCATTCTTCTGTTCCTGTGTCAGATCAGGTCCGAGTTTCAGGTTCCCGATAATCTTTGTCAGCTCAGCCTTCGTTACGTCATCAACTGTTGGATTAGAGAGCACGTTCCTTACTGTGCCACTATTGACCTGGACGTTCTCCATATGATCGTATGGCTCCACGTATCCAAGGAACTGTCCTTTTTTAACAACTTGCCGTTTAATGCTATGATTAGCGATGACCAGATCAAAGTGCTTACCTTTATGATCTGTCACTCCTGCTAGCGGTTGGACATCGGTTTCCACTTGGAAGACTGGTGTGAACATCAGCTTCTCGTTAGCTGGTACAAATCGTGCCATCTTGACTTTGACTCGTGTGCAAACAGATGGTTTCAGGAAGATCCTTTGATCACTGTAGACTCTAATGGTCTCTCGGTTTAATCTCATCCGTTGCACCTTCGTTCTTCGCACTTTGATCTTCTGCTCCTTTTCTTCATCGACCTCATCATCTTCATCAAGGTCGAGCAGGTTCTCTTGTTCTGAGAGGTCGTTTACTCCCGAGTCTTCTGAGGTCGTTGAATTATCACTTGAGCTCGTCCAATCTGAATCTGAGTTGCTGCCATCATCATCCTTTGCGGCTCTCTGTTCAAGTGGTCGCTCATCAGCTCCTTTTTCAGATGAGACGTCATCTTCATCACCTCGTGAATCGCTAAGTTTTTTCATCTTCGCATTTTTGGGCAGAGGTTTGCCCGTTTCCATCGTTTTTCTTCCACATTTCGCTGCGATTCTCGGATGGGTACGTGTTACTCGTACTTTCGCCGATGACCTTCGTTCATCTAAGGCGGACCTCTCATCGTTGGGAGCTGTTCCTTCCAGCTCATCGAGCTCCTCGAGGCTCATTAATCGACTTTTCTCGATCGGTGGACCTTCCTCACCGTTATCGAGTATCTCCTCGTCCCCTTTTGCCTTTGTTACTGGGTTTTGATGCCCCTCAGAGATCTTTTGGAGATCCTCGTTGAACTTTTCCCACATCTTTCCTCTTTCCGTTAACATTTGTGCGATTTCAAATGCTGTTGGCGATCTATGTTCTTCATTTTCGATCACCTTCACATCAGCATCTTCCTCATATCCGATGGGTCTTTTAGCCCCAATGAAGACGCATATTCGCCTTCAAGTTATCGGTGAGCAGCTCGTTATTCGGGGTCATCTCGTAGATGCACCATTTATCATCTCCTCGTTGAGAGAAATCAGCTTCATCTGGTGCTGATGCGAAAGTCACCTTCTTCTGTGGAAGACCAGTTGCTCCGATTTCTCTTCGTTTCCGATATACTTTCAGCTCAAGTATGTCGTTATCTGGTGGGGGTGGGAACTCTGCTTCCAACTTTTTCCAGTACTTGTCGAAGGATCCCTCATCTCCCTTCACCAGTGCGTCATGGAACTTTTCAAATAGCTCGTACACCGGTTCACCAAGTCCAGTGGGGAATATGACCGTCTTTCCTTTATCTTTGTACAAGCGGTTGGTGCGGAAGTCCCAGAACAGCTCACATCTCACGTCTTCCCACAATTTTCCTTCATCAAATATCTCATGTATCTCTCTGTAAAACTTTGCTTGATATCGTTTAGCCTCTGGGGAGTCCAACTGCTGCTGGTCGGAACAATCTTCCCAGTGACGTATCCATTTCCCTCTTGTTTCGATGAAGTTTCGGACACATGATAGCCATTCTTTGTATCGTTGCCAATGGTATCGCTCGATGTGCTGATTCCACATCGGATTTGTCCGGTTTATACTTTTCACTTCCTTTTGGACATGCCCTTTCATGTCTTCGATTGCCGCATTGCACTTTGGCCATTCAGAGGGATCATCTTGATGAGCTTCTAGTAAGCATTCCTTACATTCCTGTTGAGGTTGCACTATGCACGGGTCCTCATTATACCCGTGATGACAACTGCTGATACGTTCTTCCAGAGTCATGAAGTTGAGGCAAGCAAACGGATTGGTGCTGTCGTTATCTGCGTTGAGCCAGCCTCCATATCTCGGTTTCACATTGAGCTCATCAGATGAGATTTCGATGATCTCCGGTTCCTTTTTGTCCTGATGAATTTTCAGCTGTTCGATCGCTTTATCTCGGATCTCACTTGTGAGTATTTGCTCAGCTTCTGTCATCTTTTTCGGAACTTCTCGTACTTTTTCGAACTTTATATCGTTCCAAACTTTGATAGCTTTTATTCCCAGTGCCTCTGGTACTGGGATAAGCTTCGCCCATTCCATGCCGGGTACGAGAGCTCGTTTCGCTTCGATAGCTGCTTCCTTTTGGGTAGCTACGATCTGGTCCAATGTTGCGGGAGTTTCATCTTGTGTTCCCAGTGCCTCTGGTACTGGGATAGCTCCTTGACCAGCTCCTTTTCGATCATCTTTCGTCGTTTCCCGTGCCTCTGGTACTGGGATAACGACGTTTGCCCGTTCTGTCGGTTTAACTGATGATCTCCCCAACCTGGTAGAGATCTCCCGCTGGATAGCTGTCATCCGTTCAACTATCGACAGCTGGGCAGATGAACCTCCCCTTTTTATGTTCATCTCTTTTGATCCCAGTGCCTCTGGTACTGGGATAGCCCTTTGCTCCGCTTCAGCTTTTACTGCTCCTTTTGCGAGTTCAGCGACTTTTCCAGCTTGAACTTTGGCAGTTGGCTTCGGTTCATCTTCGACTTCCTCCTCTCCGTGATTATCGATTAGGACGAACTTTGTCGCCAGGAAATCATGTCCCAGTAAGACTTGTACGTCATCCGTCTTTGGTCGCACATAGAAGGAGTGTTCTGTAGTTCGTTTTCTTAGTGTTACAGGTGCCACACAGTAGTGTGTGACGACGAAGCCCGATGTGCCGCTGATCCCATTTATCTTCACCAACTTATCTGGTGGCAGCGGTACCATGTGGAGACCATTTTTCTCACAGAACGGTTTACTGATCAACGATGTCTCTGCTCCAGTATTCAACATCGCCATCACTTTTATATCTCCGATTTTGACCTCATGTGTATACGCTTCGATCCTTTTCGGTAAGTTCCCATTTTGAACTTTCAGCTTCCGGACCGTACATTTGACTGGTATCAGTGATACTGGTCCCGGATCCATGTCTGCCGTCGGAGAGAGCACCTGCCCATTCGCATAAGTGCTTTTGTTCTTCAGTATTGAGCTCAAATGGTCGATACGATGTGGCAAGTCAGTTCGGATATCGTAAAATTCTCTTTTTTCATCTCTTTTAAGCCTTTTAACACCTCACATTCATTTTTCGATGCAGCTTTTATATCACTGGTTGTCCTTTTGACCTCGTTTAGTTGCCCCTTCGCAACTTCCTGGTGACTTTTTGTCACCTCAGTGATGGTTTGATATAACTTGGTGCCTTTCGCATCATCTTTCGATGTCTCACGCAGCTTCTCGATGACTTCTCTTGTGATCTGCTCAGCCAGTGTCAGCTCATCTTCTTCGCTATCTTTCAACTCTTCTGCTGATCTCTCATAAATGATCATCTTGTGCTCGTTGTCCTTCATCCAGTCAGTTATCTTCTTTGCCCATTCGTTATTCGTTCGAGTTGGGTAAATTTGCGAGGACATCCCATCTGTTCTGGCTGGTGACCTGTTGGCGTCATCCTGTAGAGCTTGTAAGAAGTCCCGTGGCTTCTCTTTCTTCTTTATGGTAAATCCGCCGTTTGGCAACTTTTGTAACGGAACTTTTTCTCCGTAATTCGGCGGCTTATCTACCGGTGGTGCATTACTCGGGTTGCAAAAGTCGGCGGGTGTCTTCTTATACACTGGAACTGGCTTCTTTGACCCTGGAGCTGGTTTCCCGGTAACCAACTCCTCGAGTTGTATCCTCGCAGCGTCCGTTTGTATTTGTTTGATGTGCCAGTAATCTTCTTGCGACATTTGCCCTTTCAGTTTCGCTTTTGGTGTAACCGGTATCCACATCCCATGATTCCCATTGGGTCGATATGCCACCTTTTGCCACATCTGCTTCTCTTGCAATGCGTTTGCGTCATCCAGTGAGTCATCGGAGACCTGCTGTGCTCGTTCGCTTTCCTTTAGCTGCACTTTTCGCAGCGTCAGTTCCTTTGCCTGACCTGTTGGGACGACCTTTTTGTCGTTGCTTTTAGCGACTGCACATGCTTCTTTATCTCTCACTGGTGCGGAAGGTGGTGACTTCTGTCGGTTCGGTATACCGTTCTCTTCAACATGTTGTCGGAATCTCGAGCGATGCTCATCCGTTTCTTTCTCTTCCTCCATTTTCTTTTTCAGGTTAGCTTTTCGGATGATCTCGTTACGTTGAGCTCGCCGTTCTTTCAGCTTCTCTTCGCTGCAGTAAGGTGATCTCGCCTTATTGTTCACCTTGTTGCTCGCAGTACTGTCCTGCGGCAGTGGTCCTTGCCCACCTGTGATGGCATCTTTTGAGCCATGTCATTTGCAGTCCGATTCTGCAGTGGTGGTCATTTGCCCACTTGTGATGGCATCTTTTGAGCCATCTCCTTCAGCTGATGTGACGGCGTCTTATTAGCCGTATCGCCTGCAGTCTGATTCTGCGGCTGTGGTACTTTGCCCACTGATAATGGCATCTTATGAGCCATGTCGGCTGCAGTCCGATTCTGCAGCTGTGGTCCTTTGCCCACTTGGGATGGCGTCTTTTTAGCCATCTCGTTCGCAGTCCGATTCTGCGTTCCTCCTTTATCCGGTGGTTTCGGTTCGGGAGGATCAGTAGGCTCACCGGCGCCTACTGATCTTGACCGTTTCCCTGATCCATATTCTGCTGCGGGGCTTGCTCGTTTTGCTGCCCCTGGCCAGCGCCGTTCGCGCCGCCGATGCCATTATTCTGGTCGCCGCCACCCCCGTTATTGTTGGCGCGCCAGTTCCGGTTGGCGTAGTTGCCGCGTCCGTTGCCGCGACCTCGCCCGCGGAAGCCTCCTCTGCCGCCGCCGTTATATCCGCCACCCTGGCCACCTCCTTGGTTACCGCCGTTCTGCTGCTTGAACTGGCGCCAAGCTGCAACCAGGTCGTAGCCGTTCGCTACTGCCTGTCGCCAACCGCCTTGATTGCGGAGTCGTTCCCACTCTTGGGTGGCGAACAAGTTCGGGTTCCGGTTCAACGGCATGTTGGCGAACATGCAATTCTGTGCATTGTGGTTACCGAATCCACAATTTTGGCACAGTTGCACGCCTTGGTTCACCTATCCATCAATTTGGCCGAATTTCCATTCAGTTCGGGAACCCTGCTGTGGCTGATAGTTGCCGCGGTTCTGCTGGTAGTTCCCTTGTTTCCGATTCTGATTAAAATTGCCATTTCCCTGGTCATTGTTCAAGTTGGCGTTTCCATTACCTTGACCATTATTCCAATTGTTTCCGTTTCCATATTGATTTCCGTTATTTGGCCTTCCTTGCTGAGGTGGCGCCTCTACGTTCAGGGGGTGCGGCATCACGTTAGCCGGCGCCACCGGTCTGGCCTGTGCCTGCGCTTGTATCGCAGCAACCATGGCATACGTGATAGGTTGTCCGGTTTGACTATCATTGAAAGTCACTTGATTCTGAACCGGGACTGGTGATCTCGGCCGATATTCCACTTGTTGAACTGGTGCAGCTGCGTATTGCCTCGGTGCCATCTCAACCTGGCCCGAGCGGATGGTGACGATATCCGGTTGATTTCGTTGACCTTCCACCACTTTGTATTTATCTTCACCAGCTGCCCACGATCTGAAAAAAGCCTTTATTTCCGCTGGCGTCTTGAACCCCTTCGTTTTCAAGGCGTTGTAGAGGTTGTTATCCACTCTGCATCCGTCTATGAGGAATGCAACCGCTTGCAATTCAGTGATCGCTTTCTTCGCTTTAAATTTCATGATGGCCTGATAGAATTGTTCCAGTGTTTCTTTTCCAGGTTTAAATTTCCTAGCCATGGCCTCACGAAAGCCCAGGACTTCCTCGTTGCGGTCACTGTACTCATCTTTGAACTTATTTAGCCATTCTGTGACCGTGTAGACTTCTTCTTCCGCCTCTTCGATGTCTCTTTCACTGTCGAACCAGATCTTGGCTGGTCCTCTCACGGCACTGGCTATGTCGATCATGATCTGTTCATCGGTCAGATCATATGTTCGTTGTGTTTCTTTTACGATGCGAATCCACCCATTCACCGCATCAGGATTACCATCAAAGATTGCCAGGTCAGTTTTTCGGCCCATGTTTTTGAGCGTCCTATTGAATTCCCTTTGGACACGGTCTTCGTTTCGGTCGTTTCGCTCATTCCGTTGGTTTCGTTCATTTGGGATCTCTCTGAAATATCTCCCGTCGTGTTCATGTCGAGGGGACCGGGCATCTCGATTTGCATCCTCTTTAATTGCTGTTTCGATAGGCTGTTGATACTGCGATGGGTCACCAGAGCTCATCTGTGGCTGGTGACTACCCGATGGGTTCCGTTTATCGGCGACTTCATCATCTTTTTCCGTTTTGAAATCACCTCTGCCGCCACCCGTTCGTAGCGGCATCTCGAAGTGAGCACTCCCGCCAGCTCCTGTTCCTTGTGTCTTACTGTAACTGGGCGGGGGTGTTACGTCGGTATCTTTCTTAGCACCGAACTGCAAAAGTTGCTCATCCTTGTGTTTATTTGTCACCTGGAGAGCGATATTCTCATCCTCGAGGCGTCTGTTCTTCAAGTTGAGCTCATCTCTCTCTTTCCTCAATCGATCATTGTCCTGTTTGATCTTCAGCATCTCATTCTGAAGTTTGATGGTTCGATTATCCATCTCTTTGTGTGTTTCATCTTTTAGTGTGATCATCCGTTCGGCGAGCTGATTTACCTGCTGCTCCAGCTCGGTGTATGCCTGCCCTGCCGATATTAGCTGGTTTCTCACCTCCGTGGCTTCATCTTCTCTCAACATTGCCGTAGTCGCCATTGCGGTTAGCTCCGTATTTAGCCTTATGTTCTCTTCGAGCTGCTCATGAACTTTTTGTTGATTTTCTTTTTCCGCTATTTCGAGCGCTGTGACCATTGTGTCCAGCCGGAGCGCTTGTTGTCGCCATTTCAGACCCTCTTCAGCTGCTTTTTTTCCATCTTCAGTGAGCTGATTATTCTCTTCGATGACCTTTTTGATCTCATTCTTGAGTCGTTCTCCTTCGGTAGCTCCGAGCTCCGTGAGCTCCTTCGCCACTTGGAGTGCATCATCAGCTCGTTTCTGATGTGCTTGTGATTCCTTTTGGAGGATGCCGATGTTCTCCTCTTTCAGCTTCAGATCATTTCTGAGCTTCAACATGTCGGTTGACATCATTGCCAATCTTTGTGTGGCCTCAGCTAACTTGTTTGCATATTCATTCCGCTTGATCTCAGCTTCGTTTGCCTTCTTGCGAAGCTCATCACATTGATCTTTCAGTTCGGCGAGACGTCTTGATTTCTCAGCTGTCTCTTCGGACATGCTCTCATTGAGCTCGTCTACCGCGATGAACTTTTCCACTTCTTTATCATCAGCCACCTTCTGGGCTTCTTCGGCGATCTCCTTCTGACGTTCATATCTGATTTTCCATTCGGTCGCCGCATTTTCCAGAATGCCCTGCTGTTGCTCCATCTCGTATACATGAGTTTCGAGTGAGCTTATCCTCCTCTGATATTCCTGCTTCTTCTGTAGGAGTTGACATTCTTTACCTTCCAGTGACGTTTGTAACTCCCTGATCTGCCTCCACAGATTTGAGGTGGGGCTGTTCGGAGATGGGGACCGGACATTGATGATCTTCCCTGTCTGAGTTCGTTCGATTCGGTGTTCAGGTATATCACTGAACGCTGTCACCCCTTCAGCTCGAACGGCATCTTTCATCGCGGTCCTAAATGACATGTTCATCGTCACATCGTCATCGGTGAGGTACGATTCTTCATTGCTGAACTTGTGACTTCGCATCATCTCTTCATACTGCATTGGGCTCTCAAACAGATCCTCTACTGTGACATCATCGTCAAGTGAGACATCACCGAGTTTTTGCTCATCAAGTTTTTCATCATTTGACTGTTCGACGAGGTCCGGTTTAGTCAGATTAGAATCTTTGACCTGCTCTGATATGACGGGGCTGATCCTGACATCCTTTTGTGATGTCACATCCATCTCCTTTGCTCGTTGTGAGCTCGTTCCTTCGTTGATGACCTGCTGGTTCACCTCGTTGCTTCCCGCTGCAGACGCGGGAGATCGTTTCCGGTCATCGCTGGAGCTCTCTTGACCTGACACTGCTTCGAGTGCCTTTTGGTAGGTCGCATCCGAACCTCGAGAGTCCTTCCTCTCAAAGGCTTTAGGTGCCCGGGTGCTCCTTTCATGTGCGACTGGTCGTGTGTATGAGTTCAAATCCTTTTTGTACGGATTAGGTGCGCCTTGCTGAGATCCGCGAGAGCCTCGGCTCCCCTGACTGCTATTAGATGTTGGTTCGATGATCTCTTTGTCCATTGTGATGATCGGATAACTGGACGCACCTGTCGGTTATGCTCACACACGCGTTATAATACGATCGTTATGATCCCTATAGATCACTTTTGAGCTCGTTAGATAAGCTCAAATTCGTTTTAAAAGATCACTTTTTCAATAAAGAGTTCGATAAGCTCACTTCGGAGATGCTGATGATCAGCTACGGATATCAACTGAGCTGCTAAAAGTTCGTTTCGAGTTCGTTTTAGATCAGCTGATCGATCTCAGCTCAGCTCATGTCATCTTTTACTCAGCTCGTTTCGATTAAAATTAGCTCGATTCAATTGAAATCAGCTCGTTTTCGATGAAAAAGATCATTTAAAAAATCGGATTAGATCATCTCAGCTCATCTGAGTAGGTCATTATCAGCTCAGCTCAAGGTCAGAGATCGATCTCAGGTTCGACTGGTCAACTTTTTACTCAACTTATTTCGGTTAGAAACAGCTCATACCAGCTCGTATTAGATCAATTATGTTGATAAAAGTTCGTTTAAGATACTTGGGAGCTCGTTATGAGATCGTTTAGTTCAATTTTACCGGTAAAATTTTAGACCAATCACAGCTCATATAACTGACCAATCACGTGAACTCGTTAAATTTTCTGACCTACGTGACGTCACAGATCGACGGCCGGACTTGCGCGCCGTGTGCAAAATCTCCGCCTACGTCTAGCTCAGCTCAGTCAGGACCAATAAGAATTGCGCTTTTTACGCGCTGACCAATCCGATAATTAATAACGGGTTTTACCTGTTTTACCGATCCGATTTCCGCCAAAGTGATCCAGATGATCGCGATTTTCTTCTCCACGATCCGATCCCGCGCAGCCGTATTCCGCACGGTTTTGGCGCCTTCCTGATCCGACCTATTCAGCCTTCTGCTGGGCTTGTCAAGCCTACCAGCAGGTCGCTCTACAGCCTATTTTGGTGGAGCGCGTTAGAACTGATCCTGCACCTCCTTCGGTGCTGCCAGCTTGTGGCTTCTCGGCGCCTGTGCCCAGCAGCCTTGTCCTCTACAGAGGATCTCGCTGCTTAGCAGTGGAAACAGCACAAGTTCTCCACAGGAGAAACCTGCACCGCGGCCAGCTGCCGTCTGACTCGATGAAAACACGAGACAAGTTCTCCACAGGAGATACTTGACTCAGTGTTGCCGCTCCTGCTGGCAATCCGATGAGATTCGCCTTGCTGTCAGATGAGGAAAACCAGTGCCTTACTGGTGCAGTCGATCAATATCGATCGATCCAGATTCCACGTGGCCGTTCGTCAAACAGATCAATATGGCCGTTCGCCAACAGATTAATATGGCCGTTCGCCAACAGATTAAACTCGAGCACCGCAGATTACGGGCTCTGCTACCATATAATGTGGTACTCTGGAAGAGTCCAGGACAGTGATCTAGACTGACAAGATTCTGCGTTGTGTGAAATGCTATCGATACGGGATAAATGCACAACGCACGGCATCCGCTAGCATGGACACACTTTATTGAGTGAAAAACCAAATCTCTACTCAACTCTCTGAACACTGGCAAATCTGCCAAGCGAAGAGCTAAATCAACGCTCTTCGCAGCGCACATAGGCGAGCCCACACAAGGCACATACAACCAATCAGAGGAGACACAACACTGACACGTCATCCGCTTAACGCCACAGGCGTGAGGGTGGACGTGAGTACAGCCATGGCTCACAACTGTAATATCCCCGCCATCCTTTCTTCAAAAATGTTGCATTGCTTAGTGAACAATAGGCCCTTCTTATTCGGTGCACGTTGTGTAGGCCGTAGTTTTGATAGCGCTTTAAGATCATTTGATTGCAGCGGCTTATTCCCTGTTGTTTGTGGAGATTTACGAAATCAACAGCATTGCTGGTCGCATGAAAACATTAAAATTGCTTTTAGAAGTTTGATTGATGCACTTGTTTATTTTAGACTATTTGTGTATTTTAGGCACTGTCGATTTTTTTTGAATAATGACAAGGGCGCGACGACTGTCAGATTTTTGTCCGATCAACTGGTGACACAGAATGGTTGGCAAAACAGTTTGCTACTTTTTTAACGCGTGAAGCAGAAGGTGATGACGAAATAAATGGTCGGCCATCTTCGCCTTTGCCGTCCATTTGCCTTTGCCGTTCCAGTTTGCAGCTCTATCTTTACCGTCGAAAAAGCCGTTGGCATTCCAATTTGTCGTATCAGAACGCCATCTGTAAAAGACTTTGCAATATGAAAAACGAATTACCCTTTGGCATTTCTACATTTTTTTTGGCGCAGTTCCTGAAAACTCTGTGTCGTCATTAACGACACAAGATTTCAGCGTAAACGGCGAAAGCGAGCTAAAGGACAATAATTAATATAATAATGTCTTTTAAGAAACAGTTCTCGTTCTGCAATGGCTTGCTTCCGTACAATGTACGACAAAAAGAAGTTGATGACTCGGCTTTAAAACAGATTGTGCGCACTGGCTGTTTTCCCTGTTGCAAACTGATCTTTGTTCATGCGTGTGTGGAAAGTCATTCTACCACCCATTTCTCGTGAACTCCGAAACAGAATCACTCAACCAATATCCCAAAAGATCCAGAAAAAAATTACGAGATTTTGGATTCCAAATAAGTGGCAAATCATGGGATATGAAACAAATTAGCAGTGTTTGTTTTTCTCATAGACTTAAGCATAGGTTGCAAGCCAAACGGTTTTGTGCACAGCTCCTATGCTGTGTCCATGAGAAAGTACAATGGCTAAAATTTGTTTTGTTCGCCGTAAACAGCCACAAGTTTAGTATCAACAGTTTAAAATTTTTTTCTACACCTATTGATATGCAATTTGTATAGTTGCACTTCGTTATTCACGGAGCGCGAGCGTCTGAAAGTAGCAATTTCCTGAACATGAGGCCCCTGTCTAGTTGGCTGTCAAAACTCCTCACAGCGTTCATCTGTGAAAGGGTTCAGAAACGTCACCGGAAAACGACTGGAATTACAACTTTATTTTTTTCAAGGTTGTTCTTTTACCATTCGGGCTCATTTATATAACAAAGCTGGTCGTCGCGCTCCGATTAAACGTTTCGTGCTGTCGCCGCACGGACACAGAACCGGGCGTATTGCTTTTTTGTTTTTTCAAACAGTTTTTGCAGACAATTTCGGAAGCATGCGATCAAGTACAAATAATCAATCAAGACTTTTACCGCCCTGGTTTAGCAGTGGTTCGTCTGCAAGTAATCTTGAAGACTTATAAACTTGGCAGGTGCTTACTCAGTTTTTGCTGTACCACTATAGGCTGTACCACTGCCCCACGGCGCAAAGTTTTGAAATCCTTTGAAACACTTTGTCGCTGTACGTCTGTATATGAGCCGCTTCTCTCCTCACATTACGTTAAGCTGAAGGCAGCTCTAGCCGGATATGTTATGTCACATCACTATCCACTTACCCTTCCTGATGTATCAGGAAAAACATTGATGACGATAATTGGAAAGCCCCGTTTATCATTGTCACAAAGTGCAATGTACTATGTAAATTTTGCCGATAATCACAAACTGGATTTCATGTCATGTCAGTCATATATCGAGTTTATGATTACCGGCCAAATTTTGGATCACATATGCTGTCAGCTTCCTACTTCTGTACCCGGATATTTGCCAAAATAATATCTTGATACGTGAATAAGAAGCTAAAGCGAGAGCATTTATCCAAATTTTCCTCGAACCCGAAAAAATTTAAAAACATTGTCTCGCTAATAAAGGTCAACAGTTTTAAACAAATCTTGCTTTTCGCAGAACTGACAGCATCAGGCCTTAAAGTTTAAATGCTGTAGAATAAAACAGTTGGTGCTGCCCGCTTAAGTTTCCACTTTGTCAACACCGCTGTTTCCTCATCGTTGGGCAAGTATCGATCCTCGAGACGTGAGCTGGCTCCGTTTCAACCGAACCCTATCTGGTGCAATTTCTCAGGTCGGATAAGCTGCAGAGCCAGCTTTGGTAAAAAGCCCCTGCATCAGCATCTGCAGTGTCCCCTTTCCGGCAAATGCTCTCTCTGGATTATACAATTACGTAGATGTCTCACGCACTAGTTTTGCACTGATCCACTGTTGATTTTACGCAGTTTGCCTGCAAAATTAAGTCCAGCACAACCTCCGGCGCTAGGAGTGTATCGACTGCTGTATTTGTGCAAACTTGACCGTAATTTCTATCGCATCAAAACATCAACAAATACAAACTCACTGGTTAAGTCAAGCTGTATACTACGACGTGCCGCGCCACCCTCATTACGCTCTACATAAATTCAAATTCCTGTGTTAACAATATTTTAATGCCAAGCGGTTTGGGTGATTTTAGTTATGGCGCTTTACACAACCGCTTTTTGGAGGTGGATAACGGTGCTCTGCGGACTGGGATGCACCGCTTTTCCCCCAAGCTGGAACCATCACGATCTTTTACACTTTGTGTACTTGAAAAACTGGGCCGATTAAACGCAGTCTCCATTGTGCCTGCCCAAATTGTTATACCGCACTGTGCGGTGTTTTGGTAGAGCACTCGTTCGACGCCTTTGCCGATGTTGTTCTATTTTTAACTGATATTCTGGATTCCGCCATTATGATTTACAGTCACTGTATGTCATAAAGATGGCGTCCAGAATTATGTGCAGAAAAGCCGCAGTTATGCTTTCAAAGCCGGCAACGTCTTATGGCAAATGGCCACAGCTCAGCCGTTTTTTCAGTACGAAAACTACGGTGGTAATTATTGGACTACTTTTTACATGGTCTTGCGGGCAATGCGGGGCTACCTTGTCTTTAATTCTGACAATCGACATCTCTGTCTTCATCACGAGAAGTAGCTTTGACACCCTGAGTCATGATGCAGCGTCAGATATTTGTTTAACGCTCCAGACTGGAGCGTAAGACAGATACATGGCTCTGAGTCAGATTTTCTCCTTGCCTTGCGGATTTCCTGAATAACGGCTCGGGCCGCGAAGCCCAGAATACCGGTTATGAAAAGAAGCAATCC